CGGTACGATTTATTTTATTTTTTTTAAATTGAGGTGTGTATGTTGCTCTATTGTGCTTATGTTATCTATGGATGCTGTAGTTGCTTTGTAGTGTTGTATTTGTATGTATGTGGGCAGTTACACTGTATAGTTTACGTTAATGAACAGTTTGTGTGTATGATACCTATGAATGTGGGCTATGAATGTCTACCCTTGTGAGTGTTTTGGTTCATATTTTATATATATTGATGTTTTAACATACTATACTATGATTGTGCGTTTCCCCTCTTTTTTGGAGACATATATTGGAATGCTGACACAAGCCTGAGGGCACATTCCAAAGTGGGAAAGCCAAGTATTGTTTTTAAATTGTACAAATTTTTATTTGCACATGTTTATCTATATTTGAATATATTTATAAGTATTTTGCACAAATGCACTTAGTCACTTTTTCTGTATAATATTGCACAAATTTTGTTTCCACTCATATATATTTGGGTCTTAAAGGCATAGCGCACTTTATTTATATTGTATAACTATAGGTGATTGAGCTTCTATATATAGTGCTGCTTATTACAAATTGTTGTTGTTTAACAATTCAGCGCCATAATATTACTTGTGTGTTTTTATCGTTTTGTATGGGGGTTGCTTGAGGAATTGTGTGTGGATGAGATGTCACATTGTGTTTGGTGTGTATGTGTGGGGCAGCTTGGGGTATTGTATGTGAGAAGCTGCTTGTGGGGTTCTGTATTTAGATTGTCAGTAGTGTTGGGTTTGTGGGGACTGTGTGTGTTTGTATCATTTGTATGAGGAGAGGCATCTTCTGCAGCTCTGTGTAAATCTAGACGTGTGTGTGGCTTTCCTTGTGTCCAATGGGGACCCCAGGCAGAGGTCAAGGGCAGGGGCTGCAATAGCTGCTGCAGGAGGGAATACATGTTCACATGTTCTGGGAGCAGGGCTGGACTGTGAATGAAAAGCAGCCCTGGAAATAATAATTGCATACCAGCCCAACAGCACACAAACTAATACACTGGCCCGCCCACCCCCATCACTCCACTATAATATACTGCCCCCCTCCACCATTCCCTTTCCCCCAATTCAATACACTGCCCCCACTTCCTCCTCCCAATGTAATACACTGGCCTTCCTCACAATTTAATACACTGCTTACCTTCCCAATCAAAATTACTGCCCCGCTCCCCCATTTTAAACACTGCCTTCCCAATTACACTGTCCTCCCCCAATTTTATATACTGCCCTCCCCCTCATTCCCCCAATACACTGACCTCCCCCAATGTAAAACACAACCCCCTTCCCCAAATGAATACGCTGCGCCCCCTCCCCCAATGTTATACATTGCTCTCCCCCAAATACATTGCCCCATCCTTCAATACATTGCTCTCCCCCACTGCATTAAATACACTGCCCCCAATTTAATACACTGCACCTCCCCCCAATTCAATACACTACCCTCCTCCTCACTGCCCCTCCCCCAATTCAATACACTGCTCTCCCCCAATGCCCTAATTAAATAAACTACCCTCCCCCTCACTTAATACATTGCTCTCCCCATTGCCCCAATTCAAACTACCCTCCCCCCAATTCAATACATTGTCTCTCCCCTACCCCCAATTTACTACACTGCCCAGCCCCCTAACTAAATACACAATAGGAAGGTCCCCCAAGCTCCTCTTCCCCTACCTCAAGATGAGCCCTCCTCCAGTTGCAGTCCGGCCTGCACAATTCTCTGCTCAAGCAGGAGGTAAAGGGGGGTGGCTGGGCTGGTCTGTCAGCCACTCTGCACACTGAAGCACCGCCGGCAAATATGTCTGCATACACTGTACGCTCATATCCGGCGGTCAGCAAGGACCACTACTTTAAGATCCTGCAGCACTGGCAGGTCGCAGGAGCACGCGATCGGCCATGCAGTTAGGAAAGTTAATCTTTACTATCTTGGGGCTGATCACAGCTCCAGGGCAGACAGCATACCGGGAAATTTCCCGGTATCCTGTTGGCCAGTCCGCCCCGGTCTGGGAGGTTGTTTTCTGAGCTTACTTCCTCTAAGTGCTGCAATATGTACATTGATCATTGTCCCTTACCACCTGCAATCACACTCAGTTTGCACTAGCAGATATCTGAAGTCCCAATGGGACCCCTGATAGGCCAGAGCCTGTTTGTATTGGCAGCCTGGAGTGCCGTGCAAAAACAAACAACACAATTGCCGTTGGTTGCTGACCCATGGCCTAGGGAGTTTTCATTACAAATACGATCCAGAAATATGGACATACAATGGTAGATAAAGTACTAATACCATGTTATAAATACTTACATTTGCCCATATGTTTCAGTTTGTCTCTAAATAAGGCATCCTCAGATATGGTATTGTTAGAGTCACTGCTTTCAGAAATCCCTTGGAATTCATCAGCTATAAAAGAAAATGTATTCATGTTAAGGCAATCGTACAAAGAAGGACAACGCTAATTTTAAATTCATTAAGGAATGAATACACAATTTTATTTAACCTTCAGGAAAACCAGAGCAACTATTTCTGACAAGCCTTTTCAAACTTAAAGGAGCAATTCAAACATATAAAGCATTTTACTAAAGATAAAGTGAGTGCTGTGTAAAGCCTTTTAAATTACCATGGCTGAACGATTAAGTTCGGACATGGTGATTATCTTGGAATTCAGGGGCATTCTGAGATTTCTCCAATGACAGGGAGACAAACTGGAGCTGAGAAATACTATACAGGAATGAGTAGTACATTTTATATTCTATGGATATTAAATAACAGGATATGTGATGTAGGGTATCAGAAGAAACTTTATCCGTGCTTTTAAAAATGTTATACAAGTGTGGGCACACTAAGCTAGAAATAGAAAATTGATGATTAAGCAAGAAAGTGGCAAAATTTCCAGAATTGTATTAGAAGACAACAAAAAGCTATGTCTTTCAGGGGATAAGGATCACAGCAATTTTTGTTGTGGAAAGTGTGACTGACCCATAACCATCCACAGCAGCAGTGTGGCGCATTGCTATCTATTGGCTGACCATTTCTAATCACCAATGTGTTCTCATGTAGGTTTTACAATGTGACAAAATAGAATGTTTTGAATTCTGTTGGTGTATGTTCCCCCAAACCTCCCTTTCGTCAGTCACATTTCATGATTGTATTGTTGCCAGTTTTATTTATTTGGAATTAGGTTTTATTTTAAGCATGTCACCACAAGTTTAACCCCTTCAGGACTGGACTGTTTTGGCCATGTTGTACTTTAAGGACCAGAGCTGGTTTTTTTTTTTTGTTTCAAACCACAAGGCTTAACATCATAAAAGTGAAACATATACTCCATACAAGAGAGTTGATTACATGAAGAGTAACACAAGAGTTAACTATAAATTGCGCTCTAATTATTGAGATTTGAATTATATTGTATATACACACGAGACATTAGGTTAGGCTATGTACACCAGTGGGAACTCAGTCCAAATAACAAGTGAGTCTAACTGAACTGCGATGTGCTGAGGTGATGAAATTACGCCACCAAGCTCTCGGAATGTTTGTCACCCTGCTTGGGTATTTGGCCGGCAGATCTAAAACTTTGTGCTTGTCGTTCCCATGCAGGACGGTTAGGGAGCGGGTAAGTCGACATTGATAATTTATACCCTGTTTCGTGAGGAGGGATGTAAAGGGCTTGAGGGACCTCCGCCAGGCAAGTGTGCCTCCCAAAATGTCCGCAAAGAAAGTGAGCAACATCGTTTCAAACTGATAAGGTGTGTGGTTTCGGACCGCCGTCAGTAAGGCGGCTTTTATCTTTCTGATGCTGAAAGCATATTATAAGGTGCCGAGGGGCTGTACTGTGTGCTCTTGCGGGCTTTGGGGCCCTGAAGATGCCGTTTATCTCTATGTTTTTCACTTGCCACGGGTGTAGCAGTGCTGTCAGGAGCCTCTGCAACAAGTGCAGTAATTCAGCTGTTGGGATGTCTTCCTTTATGCTCCGTACCTTGAGGCGTGTATCTTCCAGGGCTGCAAATCTCCAGTCATACTCCTGATTACGGCTCTGCAGTCCTTGGATCTCCTGCTATAAAGAGGTGATTTGCACCTCATCGATGTCGGAGGTGTTCTCCAAAGTGCTCAGCCTTCCTGTTAGTCCTTGGATGTCTGAGCGGAGAGTAGCCACATCAGACTGGATGTTTGACTGGAGGTCTGCTAACAATTTTTGAGCACCCCGGTTGTAACAGATGCAGAGTCTGTGCTTATAGGTTTCGGCTTCGGTGTCTGTCTGGCCGGTAGGTCTGGTGTTTCATCCCCCAGTGAAGAGAGTCGTCAGAGAGCTCCGAGTATGTTCCCCAGTAGTCTGCCATCTTGTGCCTGCCTCAGCAGCTCTCCGATATCCAGGCTTTGCCGTGGCCTGTCGGGTTTCTTTTTCTTGGTCTCCCGACCCATGCTGGATTCCTCCCGCTTGACAGATATTTGCCGTGGTTTTCCAGGGTATGATTGCACAAATTTGGCGGTTTTCGGCTATAGTTTGCCGGAGCTCTGAAGCCATGCGACTGCTCAGCCCCGTGTTTAAGCACCACCCACCAAGGACCAGAGCTGTTTTAACACTTCTAGGGTGTTTGTGTTTAGCTGTAATTTACCTCTCTCACACATACTGTTTCCATACAAGTTATATTTTTTTTTTTTTTTCCCAGAACAAAAAGGGCTCTCTCTACATACCATTATTTCTATCTGGTCATATAATTTAATTTAAAAAATTTAAATAAAATATGGTGAAATATTAAAAAATTAAAAACACGTTTGACTTTTACTTGAAAATTTTTACTCGTCTACAAAAGCCAATTTAAAAAACTGCTAAATAGGTTCAAAATTTTGTCATGCGTTTAAAAACACCCAGTGTTTACATGCTTTTTTTTGTAAGTTACAGAGCTATAAGTACAAGTAAGATATTGCGGTTTCAAAATATACATTTTTAAAATTTATCAATAGTGACATTGTAACACTGTTATATGTCATAAATCTCTGAAAAACACCCTACATATACATATTCTTTTTTTAAAGTAGACAACCCAGGGCATTTATCTAAGGATATTTTTAAACTTTCTATGCAGCCATTTTACCACCAATCTCTGCATAGCTAGTTTCTTTTTTTCTTTTCTTCTTTTTTCACGTACATTGCAATTCAGGTATAAATTCACAGATCCTGTTATGTGTTGCTGCCAAAAAACACACTAATAAGTGTTCAGCAACATCTCCTGAGTACAGTGGGCTTGTCCGGTTGTTAGGGGGGCTAAAAAGCCACATTTGGCAGGTGGGCATGTCCGTTTTCCAACTTGGAATTTTGACATGTAGTCAACCTGCCAATGTATTTTACCCCAATCAAACCATATATTTTTGAAAAGTAGACAACCCAGGGTATTTTAAATGGTGGCATTTTAACACTTTTCATGCACTGAATTTACCACCAGCCTTTGTCAAACTTTTGGGTAGTAATTTTTTATTTTTTTTCCTTTCACATACATTGTACTTAGGCATGAATTAACAGATCCTGTTACGTATCACTGCCAAACAACACCCCAACATGTGTTCAGCAACATCGCCTCAGTACAGTGATACCACCCATGCATAGGTTTGCTGGGTTGTTTGGGGGCTAAAAGGCCACGATCAAGACTTGTGCACGTCAGTTTTTTCAACTTGATATATAGGTATGCTTGGCCTATTCTAGGTTTGGCATAGTTTTGCATCCCCCAGTTAATGTTACCATCATGAAAGTAAATATTTTTATAAAGTAGACATACCAAGGTATTGTATATGGAGTGTTTTAACATCCTTCCCCCTACCATTGTGCTAAAAAGTTTTAAAAGAACGTGCATGGTGTTAATTTTTTTATTATTCTTTTTGATTTTAGCCAGCTGGTATAGGTAACTGCCAGAAAACATCCCCATTTGTTTTCTGCAAAGTCCCCTAAGTACACCCCCCATGCATTGGTTTAAAACGATTTTACATTAACAAATTTTGGACTTGCCCATTTTGTCTGAATATAGTTTGCTTGCTTGTTAAGTGTGGTGCATTTTTACATCCCCCAAGTTGAATTTATGGTTTAAAAGTATATATTTGTATAAAGTAGACATCCAAGGTTATAGATGGGGTGTTTTGACTTCTTTCCTCCAACCATTTTACACCCCCCCCGAAAAAATAAAAAAAATTAGAGAAAGTGTGTGGTGGTCATTTTTTGTAATTCAGTTTTTCTGCACACGTCATTTGCTTTTGGACAGCCGGTTATATGTTACTGCCAGAAAACATTTTTAACCAAATGTGCAGGCATCAGGCATTTTTTTTTGCAGTGCGTGTAATAAACTGGCTGGAGGTACCCCAACGGCAATCCTCTAGCTGCTCAACATTTGTAACAAATGGGGTAATTGCTAGGCAGTGCACATTTTTATAGTATAAGAAGAATGATTTTAACATGTTACATATGCATGCAAATGTAAAAGCTATGTTTAGAGCTGAAGGGTGTGGTCCAGCATGCATGAGGTAAACAGGTAGTTTATATAGATTAAACATATCACAGTCAAGCTTGGAGCACACTGATGTTGGGTAGAGATTTATAATGTTTGCGCTTGCGCTAGGCACATTGGTCCTGGCTAGACAGTTGAGGGGGTAGGTGTGTGGTGTGTCTGGTGGCCTACGAGGAGCCATGTAGTGCAGTGAGGTGGTGCAGGCTTAGTGTTCAGGCAAGGCTAGGTGGTTTACACGTGGTAGGGGACATTTGTTACTCTGTGCAAGGCTAGTAGGTGGGGGCAGCCCCTGGGGCTGTGCTCCCATGTTTATGTCTATAGTGCCTGTGTAAGGGCTAGATTTCTCGAAAACATTAGGATATTCAGTCAAGACATTAAGCATTGCAATGGTGGAATAAGGGAGGCCCACGCCAGAGAGTCCAGCGTCATACCCATTCCCCTGCTTGGGAATGTGTGTAAGTTCCAGGTGGATCCTATCAGCCAATGCCCGTGCGCAAGGCCGCTTCCAGCTGAACTTTCGATGGTGCCGGTGGGAACCGCTTCCAATTGTTCCGGGGGTGCTGCATGTGGGAGTTCCTTGTGGGTGGCTGTACGTAGGTATAGGTTGAATAAGGAACAGACCCTGTAGTGTGTACGGGGTTGAGGCTAGGTCGATGTTGGCCCTGATGCTTTTCGCCTCCTGGGCACAGTTTCTTTCCCCCACGTTGGGCATGTGTGCGTTGCCTGTGTCGGGCCATACCTTGTCGAGCTCTCTGCTCCCTCCGGGGGTTTGGCAGTCTCCATGGCCGGCTGGGCATGTCCATGGTCATAGAGCATTTTGGTCTCTGCGGCGTGACACCTGCGGTAGTGATGGTAGGCCCTACTTCGTTGACTGCGCTGGTTGGGTGCTTTAATCTGGGTTGCTTCCCTATTCCTTGTTGGCCCCTGGGAGGTAAGATTTATCTTCTGTGCCTGCCTGCTTCGAACTGCTTTGCGTTGTAGTTTACGCCAGAATCTGCGGAACAGGTCATTCAGGCGCTGCTCCAGTGATTTGTGCTGCTCGTTCGATTCGACCTCATGGTCAGCAGTCGCCATCTTTATTCTGTGGCTTGACGGTGTGTGTAGCGTAGGCCGACCAGTGGTGTGAGTCAGGTGAGTGGGGCTGCTCCACCCCCAAAATGTGGAGGTATCAAATGCACTTTTAGTAGCAATCTCTAAACTAACTCCTGCAAAAAGAATCTAACTGGAGATTTGGGGGAAGGAAACTGACTAACTAAAATTTGCTGCCTTCAATAGAAACAAAAATAAAATTCAGGAACAAGTATTAGAAAAGTATTAGAAAAGGGTGGTAGAGCTTAAAACATGTTCCAATACACAGTCCAGGTTTTGAAGGGCAATCGGGACAGTGAAAAGGGGTGTCTGTTTTGTTTTTTTAAAGTTGGCGGTATCGTAAAAATAAAATTTGTAGCACCAATTCTGTATTCCTCTGGCACGGTGGTTGGAACTTGACCATCTCCATAAATGATTGAGGAAATCAGCTTGAGTTGAAATTGGTGAAAGGTAGTTTTTCAAGGATTCTGTTTTTTTTTGGGGGGGTGGGGGGGGTTTAAAAAAAAAAAAAAAGAAAGAAAAATGAATTGTGGGTTGCTACTTGCATCAGATAGATAGCCACCTTTTTATAGCAGGCCTTTGTTTTTCTTAAAATAAGATATGACTGCATCTGCTGATCAGCCAAATCAACACCCCCATGTGCCTGTTATAGGCCCTGATGCAAACAGGTTTGGTCTGTAGTCTGCCTCAGACAGGGACGTCTGACATGCTTTCATCATGGATGGTGGTTAGCATGTTAGCATCCTTCCTGTCCATAAATTTTATTGCAAGCACTTCAGCTTTGCGCAGAGCTTTACATTCACCTTTTTTTAATTTGGCCTCTATGAGAGGTCTGGGGAAATCTTTGGCATTTTTTCTTACAGTGCCGCAGGCCAGTGTCTGAAAACCATAAAGAGTTTTAAACAAGTGGACACTGCTATAAAAATTGTCCACATAAAGGTGGTAACCTTTATTGAACAAAGGGATCAGTAAGTCCCAAAAACTTTTCCACTTTCCCCAGAGAGTCTGGACAGCCAGGAGGGTCCAGTTGACCACCTTCCCCCTCATATACACGAAAGGCAAATGTATAGCCACTTTCGCTCTCGCACAGTTTGTACAATTTTAAGTCTTACCTAGAGCGCTTTGAGGGGATGTATTGTTTGAATCCTAATCTCCCTTTACATTTCATTAGGGATTCATCAATGGATACATTTTGTTGGAGAGTATAAACTTCAGAAAATTTGTGCTGAAGATGGTCTACCAGTGGGCATATTTTATGAAGCCTATCATATTGGGGGTGATCTCTGGGGTGACAGGGTGACATTAAAATGTAAATATCTCAGCAGCAACTCATATCTTGCTCTAGATATGGTTTGGGAGTACACTGCACTAGAACAGATGGGGTTGGTGCTCCAGTAAGAGCGAATTGATGGCTTCTTTATAATCCCCATGAGTATAGTAAGAGCCCAGAATTTTTTACGTTCAGGGACATCTGTGGGATGCCAAGCATGCTCCTGGACTGCATAGCTACCTGGATTGGTATCAGTAAATATAAATTCTGGGAAACAATCTCCTCCCAGATGGTATCCCCTAACAATAGCTACATATATAGCATAAGGGAGAAGTTATCCACATTGACATTAATGCCTGAGTTAGCGCTAAAAGGGGAGATGTTGGGCTCAGCTAATTGTGGGGGGGGATGTTGGGCTCAGCTAACTGTGGAGGTACCCAGTCCAGAATATTTTTGCAGCCGGCTCACACACAGAGATGACATGTCACTAGACACTAGTCAGGCTTGCCTTGACGTGGCAGGTGAGCTTATATATTCAAATGGCCATTAGAATAAAACTAAAGAGCCTCCATTTTTGTTTAAATGCACACGGGGATTTAGGCCAGAGCGCAGGTAACGTTTTCTTTGTTTTTACTATGTATTTTAAGCTGTTAGATACTAAGCCACTGCTGCTGTAAGCGCGGTGCTTTATCTTTGTGTTTGTATATGTCACTAGACATGTCAGAAAACTGACCTGGGTCAAAATGGGACGCAGTGTCAGTGGCGTCAGAGTCTGACGCCAAGAAGGCATATGCCTCCTCCAAGCTGTACAACACACTACACTACAGCTTTTACCAACACACTAACTGACTAAACAAACAAAAGACTAAACACATTTTTTTTTTTTTTTTTTTACTAAAACAGACTAAATCCCTCAGTTATCCCTAAACTAACTCCTTTTTTTTTTTTTTTTTATAATTCTTTATTTTTGGTGCATGTTAGCATGTATCATACATATATTTTGCGTTCAAGTCTTGATACATAAGTTTTACTATCTAGTCTGGCACAGGTGTACATATCACATATGAAGACATTGGCTGGGTATCATGTTGCACATTTTTAATAGTGTGGTAGTCTGTTGGGTTGTAACGAGTTAGTCATTGTATGGGTTGTTAAACTCCCGCTATGTGTGACGTCTCGTAGTATATATGCCAGTGAGGTTGCGAGTTTGTTTCTCTTGGGTGCTTATGGATCTGAGGCGCATTGGTTCCTATGTGTTGTCAGCCCTATGTGATAGTTGCTCTTGACCCTAGTTTTAGTGTGTGGCCCTCTTCCTTGTGTGGTCCCTTGTCCCCTTGTCGTGTCTCTCTGGCATGTTGGGTGTGATAGGGAGGGGGGGGGGAGAAAGTCCCTGGGCGTGCTGTGGGCGCTGTGTGTGCCCTTGAATCTCTGTGCGCAGCTAAGAATTTGTGTGTTGATTTGCATAAACAGAAACAGAACAAAAAAAAAAAAAATTAAAAGTCATGGCATAGCTAGGAAAGTCTCTCGAATGTCCCTATAACTTGAGGTACTCAGGTGTGTTGATTAATTCAAGTCTTTGGCCTCCTGTCTCTTCTAATGTCGGATGAGGACGTATCTGAGTCAGTGTCCAGTAGAGGTTGTGTGTCCGGTGATGCGTGTTCGAGGCCCCGTTGTGGTTGTAAGTCCAGTGCTGCCAGTATTGCGGGAATGTCTGCTGGGTCCGTAGCTTTGTAGAACTTTCCTTCTTTAGTGATCCATAGGGTGTGCGGTGTCGCCCATCTGTAGGTCAAGCCCGCTTTCTGCAAGATCTGCGTGAGGGGCTGCATGGTTTTCCGCCACTGTAGCGTAGCCCTGCTTAGGTCTTGGAAGAACGAGATTTTACAGTTCTCAAATTCGTATGGCGTCTTCCCTTTTATCGCTGCTAGCAGGCTTAATTTGTTGGACATTGTTTGACACCTGAGAATAATGTCTCGTGGTGCGGTTGCAGGGGCTCTTGGGGATTTGGATATTCGGTATGCCCCATCAAAGGAGAGGTATTTAGCCTCTCTTGTTGATAGTAGTGCCGACACTAGCCTTCTAATGAAGTGCGGTAATTCTTCTAGGGGTATAGTTTCTGATACTCCCCTCACCTTTATGTTCTTTCTTCTGCCCCTGTCATCCAGGGTGAGCACCTGCTTGTTTGTTTCAGCTTGTGTAGTCTGGATACCTTGTACTTTATCGCTCAGTTCTTTGAGGCCTTGTTGCAGGTCTGTCACATTCCTTTCAGTTGTCTGTGTGCGCCTTTTCACGACCTGTACTTCGGTCGTGAGAGCTGCCAGGTCCGCCTCCCACATTGCCCTAAGGTTATTTTGGAGACCGGTGAGCATTTCTCTAAGCTCCCGTTTTGTAGCCGGAGCTTCTGTCTCCTTTGGGCTGAGTGGTTCTCTTTGTATCGGCTTCAGGCTTTGATGCGCGGTCTCGTCGCTGTCTCGTGCGAATGAAGGCTCCCGGGTAAGTGAGGCCTCCTGCGCCGGTGAAATTGTCGCTGGCGCCGTGTATTGCAGCATTTGACTTATGTTTTGCTGTGTCTTGGGCATGGGAGCAGGCGGTTTCGGGGTTTTCCTCCCCATATTACCTGTTAGCCAAGGTAGAAGGTCGGCGTCGTCCCAGTCTAGTGGGCCTCCGTATGCTGCCGGGGAGTGTTTGATGGCGCGGTAGGCCTTGGTGCCGCGGGTCTGGTATTTCTTGCCCGGGGTGTGTAAAAAAGGCATCGGCAGATTCAGGGCGGTTAGCTCCGTCGAACTCTGCCCTCTGTGCAGGCGGTTTGGCTCGGGTGCAGGTGATATTTTAGAGATTAGGCTGATCAGCGCTCGGAGCTATGAAAATGGCGTCTATTCAGTTGCGCTGCCAGGCTCCGCCCCTCAGTTATCCCTAAACTAACTCCTGTTAAAAGAATCTAATGGAGATTTGGAGGAAGGAAACTGACTGACAGACTAAAACACAGCTTTTTAACACAAATTTAAACCTTAAGGGCAAAAAATTTAAATACAGACAGTACAAATGCACTGCTGTCACAGATTTGGCATGGAAGGGGTTAAAAACGAATTTTTATTAAGTTTAGATAAATTTTAAAGTCTCTGGAACACTGCTGGCAACAAACTATTACGATCTCTGTCTCTCCCTCAGAAAACGCTACAGAGGAGAAAGGGGGAGAGATCACTATCAAAGTGAGTGAGTGTAACACCCACTTTGACAGCAGCCAATTGTGAGCGATCACATGTCGCTCACACGGCGTAATTGGCTGTTACTATATGCCTGGCAGATAGTAACAGCGGGATTTCGGCAGAAGCGATCTCTGATCTTTCGTTTTCCGTTTTGACTGTTCAGGACCCGGTATTTTTCCGATGACTGTCGTTAAGGGGTTAAAGCCCCTAGACTAGAGCCTAGCTCTAGTTGATATAAAGATTAAGTGTGGTAGTTCGATTGTGTCTCTTGCCTGGTCCATTCAAGAGTTTAGGCCTGGCTTTCTAGAAACACTTCCAAGGTACTCAAGACCAGTAGGTCAAGAGCTGGTCTCAGAGCCAAAAGCTCTGGCTTAAAGCTAGGCCTGTTAGCTGCAATTGCCTTTGTAAAGGCAGAATTTGAAGGCAGTGCAGGCAGAGGGTTCGATACCTGCTTGAAGGAAGAGGCCAGGCACAGCAGTCAATACATGCCTGGAAGGTGGTGTGGTGTATATATAATCTCTAAAGGCAGATACAAATAACAAAATACAACATTACAGCAGTTTGCTCTTACCTGATATCGGAGGGCACATTCCAAAGCCACTATTGACCAATGTACTTCTACTTTTAGATTTCTTTGACTCATATTTTAAACGGTCTGAAAAACATAGATTTCCATTTACATGAAAATGTAGGTATAAAGATAACAGTGTAGACTTCTACAGAAAATATATTTCTGTTGTACAGTAACAAGAGTAACAACAGTTTTAGACAAAACTGCTTGCAAACTGCTAGACAAATCTACTGCATTCAACATCCAATTGCAAGTGTACAATAACTCTTTGGAATATTTGACTCAAAAAGATCAGATAAGCTTGACTTAACACAGATGTACAGGTGATACTCGAAAAATTAGAATATCGTGCAAAAGTTAATTTATTTCAGTAATGCAACGTAAAAGGGGAAACTAATATATGAGATAGACACATTACATGCAAAGCAAGATAGTTCATGCCGTGATTTGTCATAAGTGCGATGATTATGGTTTACAGCTCATGAGAACCCCAAATCCACAATCTCAGTAAATTAGAATATTGTGAAAAAAGTGGCTCACAGTGTCCTAGGCTCACAGTGTCCCACTCTAATCAGCTAAGTAAGCCATAGCACCTGCAAAGGATTTCTGAGCCTTTAAATGGTCTCTCAGTCTGGTTCAGTAGGAATCACAATCATGGGGAAGACTGCTGACCTGACAGTTGTGCAGAAAACCATCATTAACACCCTCCATAAGGACATAAGGAGGGAAAGTCTCAAAAGGTAATTGTGAAGGAAGTTGGCTGTTCCCAAAGTACTGTATCAAAGCACATTCATAGAAAGTTATGCGGAAGTAAAAAGTTTGGAAGAAAAAGGTGCACAAACAGCAGGGATGACCGCAGCTTGGAGAGGATTGTCAGGAAAAGGCCATTCGAAAGTGTTAGGGACTTTCACAAGGAGTGGACTGAGGCTGGAGTCAGTGCATCAAGAGCCACAACACACAGACGGATCCTGGACATGGGATTCAGATGTCGTATTAATCTTGTCAATCCGCTCCTGAACAACAAACAACGTCAGAAGCGTCTTACCTGGGCTAAAGAAAAACAGACCTGGTCTGTTGCTCAGTGGTCCAAAGTACTCTTTTCTGATGAGAGCAACTTTTGCATCTCATTTGGAAACCAAGGACCCATAGTCTGGAGGAAGAATGGAGAGGAACACACTGCAATATGCTTGAAGTCCAGTGTGAAGTTTCCACAGTCTGTGTTGATTTGGGGAGCCATGTCATCAGCTGGTGTTGGTCCACTGTACTTCATTAAGCCCAGGGTCAACGCAGCCATCTACCAGGAGATTTTGGAGCACTTCATGCTTCCTTCCGCAGACTAGCTTTATGGGGATGCTGGCTTCATTTTCCAGCAGGACTTGGCACCTGCCCACACTGCCAAAAGTACCAAAGCCTGGTTCAATGACCGTGGGATTACTGTGCTTGATTGGCCAGCAAACTCGCCTGACCTGAACCCCATAGAGAATCTATGGGGCATTGCCAAGAGAAAGATGAGAGACATGAGACCGTACAATGCAGAAGAGCTGAAGGCCGCTATTGAAGCATCCTGGTCTTCCATAACACCTCAGCAGTGCCACAGGCTGATAGCTTCCATGCCACGCCACATTGAGGTAGTAATTGCTGCAAAAGCGGCCCAAACCAAGTATTGAGTCCATACGAATGCTTATACTTTTCAGAGGTCCGATATTGTTCTATGCACATTTCTTGTTTTATTGATTGCATGTAATATTCTAATTTACTGAGATTGTGGATTTGGGGTTTTCATGAGCTGTAAGCCATAATCATCGCACTTAAACAAATCACGGCTTGAACTATCTTGCATTTCATGTAATGCGTCTATCTCATATATTAGTTTCCCCTTTTACTTTCATTTCTGAAATAAATTAACTTTTGCACGATATTCTAATTTTTCCAGTATCACCTGTATAAATACTCTAAGCACAGTAAAAAATGCAGCACGATAAGCAGCCAGCATGACTTGTGCGCCCACGTACTTGTGCCATAGACTCCAGGAGGAGTGTAGAAGCCGGCCTCTTGCCCACCGACTATAGTACAGGTCTGGGACACCGTTTGGAAGTTACCCTGCCCAGCCGCCATTAGTAGCTTTCCCTGGGTGCCCCTGGTCCGTCACTTTCCCTTCATGCGAATAGAACCGAACGCTAGCTCTCTGGCGGCCGTTCACATGAACCAAACCTACGAATCGTCCCAGCGGTATCCAACTGCAACCGCTATCGAACTAAATTCGGCATGAGGACTTCTGCAGTTCCCGGATAACTTGGTTCGCGGTTTTAAACCACTTTGGATTCCATCAGGATAGCACTTTTTGGAGGGAAGGTGCCTGAGACTACGAAGAACAAACGCTACCTAAGAGCCAGACGGAGAACTCCGTATTGTGGCAGAAAGATCTCCCGAAAGTTGACCGGCAAAAGCACCAAACGCCCTGGAACTATTTTGGGCACAGGACCACGTGTGCGGCCAGTCAGAACTTGGCATGTCCCATACACTGCATGGATCTAAATGCTATTTGGAGAACATGGGTGCTCAGATCAGGGCTATTTAACAATGTATTATTTGTGGTGCTATTGTATGTTTTTATTATATTTTTATGTTTGCCTCTGTTCTTGGGAGATAATTATCTTACCGGTCTTTAATGCAATTATCTCCCAGGCCCAGAGATTCCTGGGAGAGGCTTGTGGTGAAGGCAATGGAGACCCCTTGCTGGGGTCTGTGTTTGGATGCATTAAACCAGTTGTATTCCCAGAACTATGTGTTGTCTAGTTACTGGGAGTGAAAGGGCTATAATCACGGCTTAGCACTTTGTTCCAGCTCGTGGAAGATTCAGCTGGGAAGGTCCTTGTAAGGACTAGAGCTCCCAGGACTGTGTGTCATCCAGGCTCCAGGAGGACCCCAGTCAAGCCACAGCGACTGGAGCAGAAGCGCTGAGGCAGAGGTACCCAGCCGGGGTACAGGGAGCTCTGCCAAGGACCGCTTCCTAGCTGGAACAGAGGAAAACCTCAGCGCTTCTGCCCCAGTTTCTGTGGCTTGACTGGGGTCCTCCTGGTACTATTCTTGGGTTTGGTTCATGCGAACAGCCGCCAGAGAGCCACCGTTCGGTTCTATTCGCATGAAGGGAAAGTGCCGAACCAGGGGCACCCAAGGAAAGCTACTAATGGCGGCTGGGCAGGGTAACTCTTAAACTGTGTCCCAGATCTGTACCATAGTCAGTGGGCAGGAGGCCGGTTTCTACACTCCTCCAGGACTCAGTGGCAAATGTATGTGGAAAGGAGCGTTTCTCACAAGTTAGTAGGACAAATATTGGTTGATCACGGTTTGTAGCTCATGAATAATCTTTAGAGACACAGGCTTCAGGTATGGTCCAGAGTAAGAAAAGAATAATGAAAAGAGATTTGGAGACAGTTTTTTACACTGCAGTGAAATAATCCAAGTAATTCTATTTATTACTTCGCCACTAGAGGTGCTTCCAGGGTCAGTGCTGTAGTGTACATAGAGACATTTAACTCTCCCCATAGAGATGCACTGATTCAATGCATCTCTATTATGAGATGCTGATTGGTGCAGTGCTGTGTTTTCGAAATTTGTGCAGATGACCCAGACCCTTCATTACACACAACATGTCTTATCGCTGGGGGTACCCAACCAGGCTTTTAGTTTTGCAAAAAAGGACGTTGATAGAGCTGACTTACCATAGTTCAGGCCTTAAGCCCATAGAAGGAAGCTGTGGACCCAAAGTCTGCTAGATATTCTCTGGCGAGGATACTAAGCAGACCAAATAGCAACATAGAACCTCATGAGATCATAGTAGAGATAGCCTATATACAATGTTCTAACTTCTCCATGAGGCACCTCTGCCCGCCCTGTCCCTGCTCACATGCCCCGCTACAACAAAACCAATTAGACCACATGGTTTAACTTACCTTTCCTGTCTAAGTGTTTAAATGGAGAGACCACAACCCTCCTGCGATGTTAACACACATGAAACCATTTTTTCACAGTTACTATTTTCCACCTCATTTCAAAAGTTTAATCTAGTTTAATCTAGGAAAAGACAGGTTTCCCTATTTAAGGGTGACATACTGCATATATCAGTTATGTTGATTGTTTATTTTTCTGACACTCTTTAAACCCTTAAGGACACATGACATGTCTGACATGTCAAGATTCCCTTTTATTCCAGAAGTTTGTTCCCTAAGGGGTTAAAGTTTTACCATCTTACGGCACTAAGTTTACAGAATTTTCCCTGGAGTTTGATGTAATTTTCATTTATTTAAAGAAGGTTTTGTTATAGTTTATATGAACTGAAAGACATAATAGAAACATTTGAGTAGGCCTACATTAGCCACATCAGAACAAAAGCATTTTAATACAGCAGTTACACAGGTAGTGTACGTTATGTTACAATAGCAAGCCCTTGTGAAACAGGATTAACAGATCCTTAATTTATATGAACTGCTCCCAAATGGGCAGACTGGATAAACTCCAGATAGGTTGTGAGCATGGAGAGTTTGGATAAAGAATTGCAAAAAGGGATGAAGAGAGGTAGAAGGGGGAGATGGGGAGAGATGAAGAAAAAATACACCTCTCACTGTCCGTATTTCAGCCATCAGATGGGCCAGACAGGTGATGAGGTCTGTGTCACCCCCTCAGTGAAGTCAGTTTCTTGTAAGGTGGCTACAGAAGCCCCTTCAGGTCAAAGAGTGCATAGTAATTAACCCCAAACTTCTGGAATACAAGGGAATCATGACATGTCACACATGTCATGTGTCCTTAAGGGGATAAGCGGCTGTTGAGACCCTAAACGTTATAAGACCAAAATTGGAAACTTATCCTAGGGTGTTTATGGAGGCTTGGTAGGCTGCAAGAGAGGGGAGGGAGAAAAGGGCTGTGTCAGACCCAAGGAAGCACCCACCACCAGTAGAGGACCTGTCAGGTGGCCTTGGCAGATAGCGAATGAAACCCTTAATCGTGCTAGGAGTTACTGTGGGTGGGCATCAAATTGCTCGGCTGAAGCCAATTACGTCTCTAGATGCCAATTAAGTCCTGTTGGAATGTAATTAAGCTTTCATCTAAATTAGCACAAGAGGAGAGGAGCTCAGCAGGTCAAGTTTAAGAGTCACAAACACCAACCCACAGGCAAGCTCAATAACACATTATAATGAGGTAATTCTGTGAAATTAGTGTTCGAGCACAATATGTACACTCTCTATGGCGTGTATGTCCATGTCCGACAGTTGTGGGCAGGGCAAACATGCATGGAGGAACAGGGAGGGGGAAAAAACCCCGCAAAAGTCCCTCTTGCGACTATGTCCACCAGGCGGGTGTCGGTATGCCTATCCCTTCCCTGGGGACCCAACCCAAATAAAGGCAGGCAGGAAGACCACTGGTACTTACCGGGATTACAGGGTCAAGTCCCATTGTATGGAAGCCCTCTCGTGTGTAAACATGGCAGACGCAATTGAGGAAGGGGAGGCTGTACAGAGCCAACTGCCCCATACTGGAAAATTTGCACCCTCTAAGAAAATGTATTGGTGAGCTAACGGGAAGGACTGCGAAAAGGGTGGGAATCAAATTGGTGTCCCATAGTAGTGCCCAGAACCCATGAGGGAGCATGCAGCTATAAAGCAGGATCACTCAAGCTTCTATCCTGAGGGCTGACAGAGTGCTCACTTCCATTGTGGGTTAAGAGAAGCGGGCAGAGTGGGCTCCCTGCAGTTGCCATCCTGAACTTGATACTCCTCCAGGCCCCCTCTCCGTTGTTGAGGACCAGATCTTTCATCATGTCAGGGACCGGCAGAGGATCCTCAGAGGCTGCCTGGTGAGGTGGTGGCCCGTCAAGTATCCAGTTCAGGATGGCAACTGCAGGGAGCTTTATGGCTCGCTGGAATCTTGGAACATTCTTGGCTCAGCAAATCACACATCGGGTATTATCTATGTGGTCCTAGAGGCTAAATGGGAAGCCCCAAAGATAAGGGATTATTTTATCTTGTAGC